TTCCCAGTCAGAATGCCGTTCTCTCTCTCTCTCTCTCTCTCTCTCTCTCTCTCTCTCTCTCTCTCTCTCTCTCTCTCTCACATACTACAGCTATGGCACCAGGCACCGTCTACTACCCTACTACTACGCTCACTCTCGCTTGCTCAGTCGTCGCTTCAATGCACAAGGCGGCAGCAGTGCTTCCGCTTTGGGCACGAAGCATTATGTGTTATCGTCTAAGCACTACTTGACAGACTTCTGGAATAAGCTGGATTGACAAGATTTGGACAGACAGACTTCCATGGACTGCCTACCGTCCTGTACTGACCTAAAAATAAATGTTGACTTCTGTACAACCTGAATCTAAACTACAGGCATCTTCGATATTGACCTGCCAGATGGGAATATAGTACATCGGGAAACTGGGACTCTGGGACTTGACTGGGAATACTGAGATTCATAAATCCTTTTATGGCTGCTCACAATATCTTCTTGCCGATTATGCTGATATTGAAAACGTGTTTGTGGAAACGTCAGGTTCTTTGAGAAATGTTTGGGCCTTGCACAATCACTGCCTCATGGTTGGAGCGATACAAGGACCTCTATGCTGCTGCTTCAGATCACAAATACTTCCATCTCATCAAGACGGGAGTTGTTCGAAAAGAGGAGTTTGAAGTGTGGCTGGTAAGCTGTGTAGCTCGCCTCATATCAGGAAAATGATGTCTGGTGAGGCATGTTATTTGTATGGAGCAGAGCTGTGGGACAATAAGACGCAGAATGCTGTATCAGGACACTTCCAAAGTGGTGAATTCCAGCCATCTAGTTTGTCAGATAACACTTCCTGCCATGTAGTTTGCTGCCAGGTTTTTGTTTGTTATCAATCTTTATATATATATATAAACGTCAAGGCCCATGCCTCATCTATTCTGGGGGGCGTCAATCCGGTCGCTCATAACCTGCAAGCATGTTTGTACAAGGAAAAGCAGCATGAAAGAAAAGAAGGTGAGACAGAGAAGACAAGGTTCCAGGCACCCTTGCAGCTCTAGCCGCTTGCACAAGGGGGGGGGGGGGGGGGACTGATTCGGCCGTTCTCCTCCCAATTCAGAAATCGTTTGCAGGGATTCACTTGCTGGCCGGGAAGCTTACTGGCAGCACCCAGACACGCAGCAGGTGGATCCTGTAAACGGTAAGGCGCGAGGGAGATCTGCCTGGTAGCCTCACAGGCTGCTCGATGTCCAACTGCCACTTATGTGTTCCTTCCTATAGTAGTTTCCATACCTTCGGTTAACTACCACAAACCTCCCCTTGTGCCATGCTATACATCCTTCAAAAAGCTTCTAATGAAGTCATAATAAGGCAGTATTTGCACGGCCTCTTGGGAGGAGAAGTCTCAGCAGAGTGGGCTGCGGTAGCCGTGGCACTGGTAGAAGGGTGTGGCATCTTCACAGGCAGCTTCGAGGACATGAACACAAAACAGGGGGTGGCAGCCAGGCAGGCTAGACTTTGCCACCCTGCTCCTGCAAACTAGAGAACAATAAACAAATAGGAACATGATCCATAAAAGCATGGCATCACTCTGCAGGGAAACCGCACCAGCCCAATCAGAGAGATAGATCGGGCGTTTTAAGACTAAGCCAAGGCATCCCGAACTGCTTGTGATGTCATGAAACGTGAATTGACTAGCTGCTATAATTTCCATGACAGACAAATGGGACAACCTGGTAGAGGATCTAGGTTGGTTCTCAGCGAACTCCCCAGACATAATCTGCCTGCAAGAAACACACCTGACAAACACACAGGAACACAACGAGGTAAGAGAGAGAGATTAACCAAACAAGAATAGGTTAAAAACTCTTGCTGGGCACACGCTCCTCGCTCCAACTCAGTTGGAACAGCAATAATACTCCACGGAAGGTCAAGAGCATCCAAGAAAATCAACCAGCTCACCTTTCAGAGAGACCAAGAACAGGGAAGATGGGTAGAAGCATTCATCTCCGTAAAAGAGGAAGAATTCCAGCTCATCACAGTGTATGCACCCAATGACCGAACTCAAAGAAGAATCAATGGCAATCCAAACACTAATACTGGAAAAGAATCTTTCTGACATATTCAGACTACTCCACCCAGAGGTCAGAGCCTTCACCTATAGGAAAAGGAACAGAAGCCAGCACATCACAAGCTCCCGCCTAGACTACTTCCTAGTGGATAACGCTCTACAGGGAACCATACTAAATTCAGGAATAGGGAAATTACCGCACCACAACGGGCTAGACCACAGCCCAATCTTCCTAGACCTAGCATTCGACCTGGGCCTGAGAAAAGGCTCCAGCTTTTTCAAGATAAACAACTCACTCCTACAACAAAGAGAAATGAAAGAAGCAATAGTGCAAGCATGCATTGACAACAACCAAGAACAATTAGAGTTCCCCAGCCTAGTAGTTAACATCTCAACAGCAGCTTCCAAAGCATCGAGAATCACAGCAGCCCGCAAGAACCAAAGGATGAGAGAACTAGAAGCAGCAATGGCAGTAGCAGAACGGAATCGAATCCAGCATCCAATAGAGACACTTTATGAAGAAGTATGGACAAGACAAAGAAATGAACTGCACAATTGGCATATCTGGAAGACTAACGGCCTAAGAATGAGAGCAAGGATAAAAGAATGGGAAGAAGGAGAAATGATGACAAAACACTTCTTCCAAAAGATGAAAGCTAGGGGGAAAAACTCAACTATCCAACAGCTAAAAGATGAACAGGGGACCACATCAGACCTGAAGCGCATGCTCGAAATAGCAGAGAATTTCTTCACAAACCTCTATTCATCTTAAACAGACAACCCAACCCCAAGAAGAGTTGAAGAAGCAAGAGAATCCTTCATGAAACACTTGGACAAGACTATCTCCAAAGAATGGGCGGACTACCTTGACAGACCAATACAATCGGAAGAGGTCCTAGAAGCTCTTAAGTCCTTGAAACCAGGAAAAACGTCGGGCCAAGACGGACTGTCTAAGGAATTTTGGATCCAATATTGGAATATCCTAGGCGTAGAATATACAAAATTTATCCAGAAAGCATGACAAGAGGAAAGTATGGGAAAATATCTCAGCACGGGAATAGTATCCTTATTATACAAAAAGGGCGACCTAGCAGACATAAGGAACTATAGACCCATTACCCTCTTAACAGTAGCATAAAAGATATTAGCAAAACTACTAGCAAACAGGATCAGCACGATCACTAAAAGGCATACTTGCGGCGCATCCCGTGCGCGCCACTTGCGCACGTGGGGCGCACTGCGCGTTGCGCACCTGGCGCCCGCACCCTGTGCGCCACATGGGCAAAATTCCGGGTCAGCCAAAAAAAAAAAAAACTTGGGGAGGACGTGAATGGAAGTTCCCACGCCCAGTCAAAATTAGGACATTGCCCGCGCAATTTTTTTTCAGGGCCGCGCCGCCCCAAAACCTGTGTGTCGTCATGTTCGCTGTACACAACTCCATACTATCTTCAGTGTATCTGAGCCCTTTCAAAGGTCCAATACGGTCGTGATGAGGAGGCATCTGTGAAACCCTTGCTTTTGTCTCATTCCACGTATAGAAAACGACAGAACTGACAGTTGTGGCTCCTTGGTGCTTTCGCTAAAAAAAAAAAAAAAAAAAGAGAAAGAGAATGTCCGTGACAAGTTGAAAACCAACAACGTGGCGATGTACCTTTCCATGTTCTAGTGAAAGATTCATTCTAATTTTGCACAAATTGGAGAGTAGTCGAACCTGCCACCAGAATCCGTTGGGCCTCTGGGCCTCGCTGCACTACTCTCGAGATGCACAACAGACAAAAATCACGGCGGTGTATCTTTCCATATTCTAGCGGAAGATTCACTCTCGTTTTGCACATTTCGAGAGTAGTGCAGCGAGGCCCTCTGTCACATGAGGGCTGCAAGTCCAGCTGTAGTCGGGTGCGATGTAAGGGCCTCGCTCCACTACTCGTGCACAAAAGACAAAAAATATGGCGGTGTATCTTCTTATGTTCTAGCGGAAGATTCACCCTCATTTTGCACATTTGGAGAGTGGTGGAGCCAGGCCCCAGGCTACCGTTGTATGGCCCTCGCTCCACCACTCTCCAAATGTGCAAAATGAGAGTGAATCTTCCGCTACAAGATGGAAAGATACACCGCAAATATTTTAGTCTTTTGTGCATGTGTAACCGTTTCCAAAATAAGACAAAAACAAATAAGAAAAAAAAAAGGAAAAGCAACGGCCTATAGGGCTGAACAAAACGCCCTCTATCGAGAATCAATAGTGTCCATTGATACAGGCGTTTTGTTCGGCCCGATAGTGTCAGGGGAATGATGTCGTGGCATAGCAGACAAACACGCCTGTATCAAAGGCACACACACACACACACACACACACACACACACACACGCACACACACAAACACACACACACACCCAAAAAAAAAAAGAAGAAAGGCACATCCGCAGGTGCGCGGGCATGGGGGTCACTCGGCCGCACTACAGCGCACTGCCAGTGCGCGCTCAGTGCACGCGGTGCGCACGTGCGCACACATCACCCGTGAGCGCATGGCGCACGGCGCACCGGTTAAGTGCGCCGCAAGTATGCTAAAAAGTGTTTCCACATAGATCAAACTACGTTCATACCAGGAAGATTCATCTTGGACAACGTAATGATCCTAGCGGAATCAGTAAGAACCATCAAAGACAAAAAAAATGAACGCAACCATTCTCTTCTTTGACTTCGAGAAAGCATATGATCAGGTGAATTGGGACTTCATGCAACAATATATGGAAAAGATGGGAGTAGGCCCGACATTCCGCAAATGGGTCAGAGTGCTCTACAACGACGCACATGGGGCGGTACAAGTTAATGGCCATATCTCCAACACATTTCGTATGTCCAGATCTGTCAGACAACGAGACCCACTCGCAGCCCCCATTTTTTTTTTCATAATGGAGGCAATTGCATCCTTCCTAAGAAAAGACCCATCCATACACAAACTATCAGAAGAGCACCAAGGAGGAAACCAACATGCACCAATACCCACCACAATCCTATCCGTGGATGATCTGACTGTATTAATTAGAGCATCCAACTCATCCTTTGAAGCTCTCACCAAAACCATGCAGGCATTTCAGTTAGCATCTGAAAGGAAAGTCAACTGGCAAAAAACGATAGGTTGGTGGCTGGCAGAGGGAGCAATAGACAAACCACCTTCCTCCCCGGAGGGCCTATTGTGGGTTGAATTAAGCGACCCCTAGCGCTTTTTAGGCATGCAGGTCTCAAGCCAAGGCACAATGAACAACATGGCAGCCAGCCTCCTAGCTAAAAAATGACAGACACACTAGACGACTGGATGGAGGTTCACACCTTATGCGGAAGAGCATTAATACTCAATGCCTCAGTCTTTTCTATGATGTGGTACGTAGCAGCCAGAAGAGGGCGCTCTTAAAGTACTGAAGAGGAAGGCCTCGGCCTACCTGTGGATCGGAAACCCCGCCAGAACCAATTTCATTTGCAAAGTAGCCTGGCAACACGTCACAGCCAAGAAGCACTAGGGAGGTCTAGGAATCATTGACCCTCCACCGCAAACTAAGGCCTTACAAGCGAAGTGGATCCTTAAACTAATCTCTCGCCCAAGCCTCCCATGGAGGCCGCTAGACCTAGAAC